GGGCACAAACCCCAGCACCCCGGGGGGAGGAGGAGGCGTTGGGACACGGTGTGGGAGCGTGGTGCTGCGGAGGGGGACGGGGACGGGAGCGTTTCGGTGGTGCTGGAGGGGATGAGAAGGGGGTTCGTGTGCCTTTTGCAGGGTTGGGTGGTGAGGTTTGAACCTCGTGAGAGCTGCCAGGGCTGGAGAGGGCTCTGGCTTTTGCTCTCTTTGGGGTGTTGGTCTCCTCCCTTTTACAGATGGAGAAATCAAAGTGCAGAGAGGCAAAATGCTACGGCTGTGCAGAAAGCGGAGCTGAGGCTAGAGCCAGGGCAGTCACTTTTGTGCTGCTCCTCTTCCCCATAAAACAGGTTTCACCTCCCTTGCTCAGGATCTCCAGATGTGCCCCTGGGGCTGTCTCTGCCCTCTGTGGCAGGCAGACCTGCCTGCAGTGGTCTTTTCTCTCCTGGAGAGCAGATGACCGGTGACAGTTTAGGCATTGTGATCAGTGGCTCCAGAAAAGAGTGCGAATCCCAGCAGAGATCAGCACACCACTTCTTCTTTCATCACCTCACGCAGCTCCTCAGGGAATTGCTTGCAGTTTTTATTTTCCCTCCAGCATCAGAAATCACAGGTTATCAGCATTCACAGGTCACGGCAGGCTGCAAATCTGACACTTTGGTGGCTGTGATGCCTCCGCCTGTCCTTGGGGAGGAGGGTGACGCAGAGGCCAGAAGACGTTGTCAGTAGATGCTCCGCAAGCATGTGCAGAGCTGCTCCGACTCTGGCAACAGGACAAGGCAAGGCCTTCTCTGGGGTAGAAACCTGCCTCGTCTGTTGGCAGTGCGGTGGGAAATCCCCAGCTCTGTCCTCTCCATCCCATAATTCTCATGACCTCACCCACAGAGGCTGATAAAACGAGGCCTGAGAGAAGCAGGGCTGGCAAATGGAAAAACAAACAGCTTTCCAGCCTGGACCCATCCCATCCCAGGCAATGTCACCTTGGCAGAGTCTGACAGTGCAGAGGGCAGAGGGGGTGCCTGTGGTCAAAGTTTCCTCGCAGGCTGCCTCGGGGTGGGGGGGTCCGATGCCTCCCCACCCTGTGTGCATCCCTTCCCGGGCAGCACAGCCTCTTCTCGGCTGCAGGAGCAGAGGTGGAGGAAAGCCCCTGGCATAAGGAGAGCCCAGGCTGGGCTCTGCAATGTCCGATACCTTTGACAAAGGCCAGCACCATCTCCACATCCTCAGGGATGGGGAAACTTCTCCACGGCTGCTCCAGCCTCACATAAAGGCTGTAGGCAGGGAGGCTCCGTCCTTTCCTCCTGGGCTTCCTCAGTCACCCATCGCTCTCCATACTCCAGATTTTCAGAGCTATCAGGTCTTGCTGTCTCCCGTTTGCTTTGATAAGAGCTGGTGGCATTCAGCGAAGAGCTCGTACCCATGCCAAGGCTTTGCCCCCAAACAGCCACAACCCGCTCTGTCCTCCAGGGCCAAATATCTGAGTGTTTGGGCTGCAAAGCCTGTGTAACTCCCAGTTAGCGATGGCATAAATCAGTGCCAGATCTGGCCTTCGGAGTGCAGGGCCACAAAGAAGTGGTGATGAGGGAGAGAAAGGAGGATGAATAATCCAAGATCTGAGTGTAGCCCTGCCTCGTGAGCACAACAGAGCTTTGAGAGGAGAGTTCACACTTAGCAAAGTAATTAAAAGTTATAAGTCAGGCAGGCAGTGAAGGGTTCTGGCCCCTTTCCTTGGGACATCAAAGCTTGTTTTGGCAGAGGCAGTGTTTAAATATATTTATAAAAAAAGGCGGGAGGCTCGTCAAAGGCAGCCGTCGTGTCTGCGGTCTCACTTTAATTTGCTTTGATATCCCATGCAGCCTCATTATTTGCAGAGTGTCAGGGCTCACCGTAATCCACATGAAATGCCGAGCAGAATCAAACAGGCCCTCACGTCTGCACGCCCACAGCTTCGCGTCTCCTCCCATGAGCACCCAGCAAGATCCTCCGAGCCCAGGGGCAACCCCAGCCCTGCGAGAGCATCTCTGGGGGACCCGGGATCTCCTTGTGACAGCACAGGATGGACTTGGCCCACGCTGGCCCCAGGGCAGCCGAAACACCTTTCCCCTCCTCTCTCTGTGCAAGTCTTCTGTGTTTTTTTTCCACGTGCTTTTCCCGTCCTGTGGTTGTTCACATCTTTGGTGTATCCCGTTCCCCTACAGTGCCCAGGTTGTCGCTTTACCTCTGGCCTTACGGCTGATGCTCTTGTAGGTGAGAGGTTGACACTAAACTACCTGGTGCGTTGCTGGTTCAGAGAGATAGTGCTGCTGGTTTGCACCTTTCCGGGCAGGCTGCAAGAATCTGGGCACGTTTACCTACGGGAACCAGCACAAGTTCACCCAAACTATCATTTAAAGTGGATTAGTTGAACTCCGTTCAGTCAGATTTTAAATGGCTCTGTGTTGGTTTTTTTTTTTCCAGATAATTTGCTTAGGAAGTGAGCAAGTTAAAAAGATTTGATCCAGTTTAATTGATCCATGTTAATGTCATACCTGTGGTTAATTAGGGGGACGTTTCCTCACTGTTCCTGCACAAACAGATGGCCAGAAAGGGACAGGGACCAGAGTCCCACAGCGGTCCTGGGAGAAGGGGTGACTCTGTGCCTTGTTCTTGCCTGTCTGCCCAAAATCTCCTGGCACGGTTTCAGATGCTCCCGAGCCCGGTGGTGTGGGCTGAGCCCATCCCTTGGGTGCCGGCTGTCCGCGGAGGACACCCCGTGTCCCTTAGCTCGCGGGTCCCCTGGTCCCCCAGTGACCGTGGCACGAAACCGCATCTTTTCCCAGGTCACTTGCCTGCCACCTCTCATCCATCAGATGAGCAAACTGCAGCCAGGTCCCAGCCCTGCTCACCACCCCGTGAAAGCCAGCCCTGCCTCTCCAGTCTTCGGCAATGAGATCATCGCTGGCTGCCCGAGCACACGGGGATGGGTGTGCAGAAATCTGCGATAGGCAGCGCGGGGGATTGTCTCTGTGCAGCTCAGGGAAAAGGGCTTGGCAAGGGGCAGGGCTCGGTGGCTCAGCCTGGGGCATCACAGGTCCTCCTGCAGCGTTCCTCCTTGCTCTGGGGAAATAACTGCAGGGTGTCAGGATGCATGGAGGATTCCGGTGCTTTATGGCAGGGCCCTCGGACCCTGCAGACTTTGCTGACTTAGAGCGTAGCTGCAAAGTTTAGACGAGAAGGGTGAGAGCTGTATGGCCACGGGCAGGGGGACAAAGCGGGAATCCCTGCTCGGCCCCACGCCTTTTCAGAGGGAGATGCATCCTTCATCCTTCCCTGGGGGAGGTTGTTTTCCTCCCTCCCAGCACACCCAGTTAGAGCTGCCTCCTTCTGAACTGCCCCATGGAAACAGCGTCCGTGTGAATCGGGGGGGATCCACTTCGCTGGGGTCCAGGCGACCTGCGTTGAACTCGTCAGCGTTTTGCGGTGCTGCTGCCCGGGTCTGTGCGTGCCAAAGGACTCCCACCAACCTGCTGTTAATTACGGAGTGAGGAGGTTTAAGTGCCAGCCTCAAACTGGAGAGCAGAGGGAGCTCAATGGCTTATTTTGTTCTGATTTCTCAGGGTTTCTTGGGCTCAGTGAGGCTTCACACCTGGACTCCCGAGAGAAGAGTTATTTTTCTGTTTTCAAGAGAACTTTTGTGCTTCTCGGGGCTGTGTGTTTGGCTAAGTGCAGCAGGTTGGGGCAGGAAAAGCCTGGAGTGTTTTGTTTTGCAGCAAGCGACTCTGCGGCCTTTAATCCCAAACACCTTTTGAGAAACGGTCACATCCGTGGAGGAAAGCACGCTGATGTCTGTTAGTTTTGGTGGTTCCTGAGGCAGATTAGGTCCGTGTGGTTGCAAGCTCCCCAGGGACAGGGCTCTCTTTTCTGGTTTTGCTTTTGTACAGACCTAGCACAGAGGGATCCAGAGCCACGGCTGGGCGCCTAGGTGTTCCGAAAGTGCAAATCGTGTTTTGTCTAATGTGACGTTAGTGGAGATAAGGCTGGGCAGTTCAGAGGAATGCTCACCCGTGTGAAACCCCGTGGTGCTGCTGCAGAGGGCTGAGCTGCTCGGCAGTGCTGCCTGGCGGGTTGAGCGCTGGGCTGGGAGGTGGGAGGTTTGGGTGTGAAGCAGTTCCCCCTCCCTGTCTGCCAAAAGAGACTCTCATTTCAGGGGGCTGCATGAGGGTGCTTGGGGTTGGGGTGGGAGCTGCTGAGCAGAGCAAAAAGTCTGGGGCAGAAAGCAGATATTCCCTCTGCCTCCTGGGCAGAGAGAAGGAAGATTTCCCACAGCCCCAGAGCATCTCTGGACCAGCCTGCTCTCACTCTCTTTTCTTCCAAAGCAAGTGCCTTGGGCCTTGGCACTTCTGCTACCCCTCCAGCTGCTCACTCCCTTTCTCCTTCTCCTCAGACCTGGCTCAAGGGCACCTGCAACTGGGACACCTGGGCAGGGACTTCCGAGCAGACACCAGCCCCCTCTCCCCCTCCGAGGGCGAAGGCCAGTCTCCGATGGCCGTGCGCTACCGCAACAACAACCAGCGCCGCTTCTCCATGGAGGCAAGTACTGCTGCGGGCTGGAGCGGGCAGGAGGGACCTGGCAAGCTCTGCTTGTCACCTGCCTGCTGGCTGGAAGAGCTGGTGCTGGATTCGGGGGGACCTGGCAGTCTCAGACACGAGTCCTGATGTCCTCTTGGGTGCTCTCGGCATCACTGCCGCGGTACCCGACAAAGCCCAGCGCACGTCCCCATGCACACGTGTGCACACACACCTTGCCTTTTCCTTTGGCTAAGGGTCCCACAGATGCTGCCTGCTTTGTTTCAACGTTAATACCAGCTCTGGTTAGAGAGCATTTCCCCTCGAACGTCTCCTCGCAGGCCTCCTTCCACCAGGCGCTCTCATCCCCCGTTCTTCTGGCTCTCTCCGCAGGATGTCAGCAAACGTCTCTCCCTGCCCATGGACATCCGCCTGCCCCCCGAGTTCTTGCAGAAGCTGCAGATGGAGAGCCCAGAGTTCCCCAAGCCCCTCAGCCGGATGTCCCGACGGGCTTCCCTCGTAAGTCTTATCATGCAGAGCAAGCAGGGCCGGGCCCAGCATCTCGCTTCGTGCACACAAGTTCCTCCCAGCAGATGCATCTGCTGATTGTCACCCACCCATGCAGCCGTGCCGTGCTGTGCCAGCTCCCTTGTCCCCGCCGTGTCGGGGAGATGGCACACACCCCCCCCTGCTCGTGCAGATCCCTTTCTGCCCACTCCCAGCAGCCCACATTCCCCCCACCATGCACATCTGCATCCCTTCCTGTGCACATCTGCATCCAGCTGTGCAAATCCCCAGGCCTGCACATTCCTTCACTCACCTCATACCTGACTTTCCTCTTGGCTTGGCCCCTTCCAGAGGAGAGGGGGTGGAAAAGCCTCCTGTGGTTTAGCAAGCGCTGGAGCCTCTGCTAGTTGAAATGCAAATGCTGATAAATAATGCATTAGACTTCGCATTAGTGTTGGCATTTCAGTTTCTTTACTGCAGAGCATCAGCACACGGAGGAGGAAAGGAAAAAAAAAAAAACAGTGCCCTGTTTACAAATGTGCAAGCACGTGTCCTGCTGCCCAGGAGCGCTCGGTGCTACGCAGATACAACAGGGAGGTTTCAGCAGGTGTCTTCAGATCTACGAGCCTGCTGAGGGGGAGGCAGGAGGACAGGAGAGCTTACATTTACCTGCCTGCTCTGTCTGATCAATAAAACAGACACAGCCAGAGCAATGTGCTCTTAATATTCATGTTCCCCACCATGAATAAATAAGTCACGCTCCTGCAGACCTCGTAGTATGGCTCTGGGGGGTGTAGAGCACCTCAGAGAGCAGCAGCCACATTTCTCTGCGCAGGACACATCTGTTCCCAGGGTACACAGAAGATTTGGGGAAGCCAAAATGGAATAAAAAAAAAAACCCCGCTGAGTTCTGCTGGGATTTGCTGATCCAAATCCAGCCTGCGTGGGCAAGAAAGCAGCTTCCTCGCTGCTGTGAGGGCTTGGCGGTGTGGTCAGTGTCTGGGGCAAGGAAAAAGCCTCCCCATGGGGCAGATCTGGAGGGCAGGGGGGGGCTGCCACAGCACCCAGACCTGGGGCTGCTGGTTCTCCAGGTAGAGCCCTGGGCACAGTGCGGGGGGCTCCCTCGGGGCCACCCCCCAGGACCCTTTCCCTGCCCAGCCCCTGTCTTTACCTGCTGGCTGAGAGCTCTCCAGCCAGCTCCGTCTGCGGAGGGCGAGCGGCGTGGCAGGGGCTGGGTCGGGGTGATTGGGGGGAGCCTCTCACTGGGCTGGAGTCAGAGCTGGCTGCTGGCCTGGGGGCTACACCGATGCAAACATATTTTGTGGGAGATTTGCGCTGGTTTATTAAGCTTGAAGAGCAAAGATTTGCCCATGGAGCAATTTCAGGGCTCTGCTAGGAGTGACACCTAAATCTGTGACCGTGCAGTGGCTGCCCTTCTCTCACCGGGTACACGAGAGCGGGTCTCAGCAAAGTGTTAAAGAGTTACCGTTCCAAATGGGGAAATGTCCCTTTCAGGCTTGATTTGAAGAGCAGGCAGAGAAATGGCTGGAGTCACAGCAAAGACCAGGACGTGGGGAAGCACTGGAGAAAAGGGCCGGGCCAGCATCCCCCGAGGCTTCTCCCACAGACAGGGCACCTCTGCACATCCCAGCTCCCACCCAGCTCGGCCGTGGCTGTGGCGGGGCGGTGGGTGAGAGGAGGGGGCTTTGCTTGAGCAGCCAGTGGGTTGTGAAGGTTTTCTGATGGATTCATTGCCTGGACACCTGCACGGCTCCTCCAGGAAAGTAACGGACTTTCTGTACTTAGACCAGCTGGGCTTCTGCATGCCAACGCCTCCTTGACCCATCTGCCCCCAAAGCTGTTACTGTCCAGTGGCCTCCGCCTCCCCCCAGAGGTGAAGTCCTCCCTGGATGAGATCCCTCCCAGTGATGTTTTCCTTTCTCTCTTACAGTCAGATATTGGGTTTGGGAAGCTGGAAACCTATGTTAAACTGGACAAACTGGGAGAGGTGAGTAGACTATGAAACCCCTGTAAGGATTTAAATTAAGTTAGAAGGGCAGCTTGAAGCAGACTGTAGCCAGATTTCTTCGATATCTAGCAATTTGTAGACCAAGTCTTTCTGTGGACTTCAGACTTGGCCCTGTAGCTTCAAATGAGCCTTCCTCCAAATGTTGTGGAGTGTATCGGTGTTGTGCCACCCCAGTAAATGGTTTTCTTGTATTTTCTCTCTCCCCACCCAGGGCACTTACGCCACCGTCTTCAAGGGCCGCAGCAAGTTGACGGAAAACCTCGTTGCCCTGAAGGAAATCCGCCTGGAGCACGAGGAAGGGGCGCCTTGCACGGCCATACGGGAAGGTGAGGGCAGGAGGGGGCTTTTCCCCATCACCAGCTTCCTGAGCGATGCTGGGATTTGGGTGGGGTGGTGCAGGAGCTCACACGGAGGGCGGCCCCAGGTTCCTGCCGCCCCAACCGTCATCTCCTCGCCTTACAGTGTCGCTGCTGAAGAACCTGAAACACGCCAACATCGTCACCCTGCACGACATCATCCACACAGAGCGCTCCCTCACCCTCGTCTTCGAGTACCTGGTGGGTTTTGGGGTGGGGGGCTTTCTGCGGGAACTGGGGGTACAGCTGCCGTGTGCCGAGGGAAGGACAGGCTGACGTGTGCTCCCCGTTGCAGGACAACGACCTCAAACAGTACCTCGATAACTGTGGGAACCTGATGAGTGTGCACAACGTGAAGGTAAGGTGGTGCTGCCCCCGCCCCTCCCTGCCCGCGGGGAGCTCACCCGAGGGCAGTCCAGGGTGTGAGGGTGAGGCTGGATACCCCTTCTCTCTTCAGTTCAGCTTTCTCACTCTTCTTTGACCTCTTTCAGCCTGCTCTGATGCTCCACCAGCTTTTCTCAAGTCACTGCCACCCTAAATGAATAACTGTCCATGCAGACTTTGTTCAGCCCCTTTTCTGGGTTGCTCGTGATGCGCCTGAACTTGTCTCACCCCAGGCCAGCTTCCAGGGGGCTTTCCTGGCCGTGAAGTCGAGAGCCCCTGAGACAGGCTCCTTTCTGGTGCCCGCGACCCAGTGCTAAATGACAGCCCCTTCTCCTCCCCACAGATCTTCATGTTCCAGCTGCTACGTGGTCTGGCTTACTGTCACGGGAGAAAGATCCTGCACCGAGACCTCAAACCCCAGAACCTGCTCATCAATGAGAGAGGAGAGCTCAAGCTGGCTGACTTCGGTAGGTGGATCTCTCTCTGGGGAGGATGCGGCGTTGCGAGAAGGTGCAGCTCCTTGATGCCCATCCCTTTCGTCCTCAGGACTAGCCAGAGCCAAGTCAGTCCCTACGAAAACGTATTCCAATGAAGTGGTCACACTGTGGTACCGACCCCCTGATGTCCTGCTGGGATCTACCGAATATTCCACACCCATCGACATGTGGTGAGCCACAGCTCCAAACTGAGCTTCCCGGGGTCTCCGGGCTGGTGGCTTGGGCATTTCCATCTGTCTGCCAGTGCAGCACCATACATGCCCACAGTGTTGGTTACACCAGAGGGTGGTGGGGTCTCCCAGAACTGTTTTCTGTCTCCCCTGGGGCTCAGGGTCTTTGGAGGATGCTGCTGACATCAGGGGTGAGTGGTTACCTGTAGCAGAGAAGGGACACAGCTCCTGGAGCTCATTTCCCTCTCCAGGAACCTCAGCCCTGGCCAAGGGGTGATGGGGCCTCCACAGGGCTTCTCCCTCACTACAGAATCCCAGAATCATCCCGGTTGGAAAAGCCCCTGAAGCTCCTCCAGTCCAACCATGAACCTCCCCCTGACCCTTCCCAACTCCCCCAGATCCCTCAGCGCTGGCTCAGCCCAACTCTTCAACCCCTCCAGGGATCCCGGGGACTCCCCCCTGCCCTGGGCAGCCCATTCCAACGCCCAACAGCCCCTTCTGCACAGAAATCCTTCCTCAGAGCCAGCCTGACCCTGCCCTGGGCAGCTTGAGGCCATTCCCTCGGGGCCTGGCGCTGGGGCCTTGGCTCCAGAGACTCATCCCCCCTCTCTGCCCCCCCCTGGCAGGGAGTTGCAGAGGGCCAGGAGGTCTCCCCTCAGCCTCCTCTTCTCCAGACTGAACCCCCCCAGTTCCCTAATCCTGGAATATCCTCTGCTGCTCCTCCAGGGGTGTCGGGTGCATCCACTACGAGATGGTCACCGGCCGGCCCATGTTCCCCGGCTCCACGGTGAAGGAGGAGCTGCACTTGATCTTCAGGCTGCTGGGTGAGTCTTCTGCTGTCTCGCAGATCCCCACGCGAGGGCAGTGCCTGACTGCAGGAGCGGCGGCGCCCGGAGGGAGCCTGGGCTGGCAAAGCCTTGCAGTGGGCAGGGGCTGCAGGCAGCAGAGGGGCGAGGGCGAGGAGCATCCCTGTGGGATGCTCAGGCAAATCCCATCCCACTGGGGAAATCCCTGCCCTCTGCCCTGGGCAGGACGGACACTCACACCTGGGAGGAGGTTCTTCTCTCTGCGCCACACGAGCGTGACAGTCTTCCCTCTGTCCCCTTCCCAGGAACCCCAACGGAAGACACCTGGCCTGGAATAACGTCCAACGAGGAGTTTAAGGCTTACAATTTCATGCAGTACCGAGCCCAGGCGTTAATAAATCACGCCCCAAGGTACCTCCTCGAGCAGGGACACATGATTCGTAGTGGGATTGCACTGGTTGTAAAAGGGGGCCGGGGGACACCAGTTTAATTTTCTCTGCCTGGTGCTGGCAGCTTCCGGATGCAGCTGTGCGCTGGAGCCGCCACCTGGCCTTTGCATGGGCGACTGCAAACGTCTTCTGGGTGCTATAATGCTCCGGTTTTTTCTTTCCTCCTCCTCTCAGGCTGGACTCGGAAGGCATTGACTTGCTGATGAACCTCCTCCTGGTGAGTGGTAGAGCGGTCCAGGTGGATGGCCAAGGGATTTGCTGAAGTGAAGGTACTCTGCCTGCCCTCACTGGTTGCGGAGCCAGGCAGGAGGGGAGCTCTGCCTGCAGAATAAGCCACGGCCCTGCAGCTATGGCCTCGGGGATGCCATCCCAAATGGCATCTACAAATGGTGAACCATCCTTCACCCTGTGTCCTCTCACACACAAGTGAGAGGACACAGACCTGATGATCCGTAAGGTCCGGCGTGGCCGGCGCACTCCTGCGGTCACGCGGCGTGTGCTGTGCCTTGCGCCCATGGAAATGGCACTGGGGATTGCCAGCACACCCCCGTGGCGTGCACCGTGTTTGGGCACACTTTGTCCCCGTCCCCCCCAGCACATGAAAAGCGCTTACGTGTGCGGGGATGCTCCCACACCCTGTACGGGGCCTGGGGGCCCGCTGAACGCCGTCTGGCACGCGCAGGCTGGATGTAATTGCCTTTCTCTGGGGCTTTGTGCAGTACGAAGCCAAAGGCCGGATTTCAGCGGAGGCAGCCCTGCGGCACGCTTACTTCAAGAGCCTGGGAGAGCGGGTGCACCTCCTGCCTGACAGTAAGTGCACCCCTGACCTCTTGCCTGGGGGACGTGGAGCAAAGAGCTGCTCTGCAGAGGGTGATGGTTTGCAGCCAGGTCAGTTCGGTGGTCTTTGCTCCCTCAGAGGTGCTCCTGGAGCAGGGAGGGGTGGGAGCTTGGTGGCTGTGGGAGCAAGAAACAGTTTGGGGAGGACAGTGTAGAGTAGGAGTAGGAGTGTGTGAGAAAAGCTCTGGTGAGGTGCAGTGCCGACCCGCCTGGCTCTGGGTTTGCAACTGCTGCTGGCTCAGCCAGCTGGGCTGACCCCTCTCTCTCTGCCCCCTCTGCCTAGACGTCTCCATCTTCTCCCTGAAAGAGATCCAGCTTCAGAAGGACCCTGGCTACCGAGGCTCAGCCTTCCAGCAGTCAGGTAGGGCTGGGGAAAATCACACTGACCTCTCCCAGGCGGTGCCACGGACCGCGCTGGCACTGGGGTTACTCCCAGTGGGCGCCACGTTAGGAAAAAAAGCCAAATCTGGTTCCTGTTCCCTGCTTTAGTCCTGGGCCATCCTCACTTGGCACCTGCCGTGGTCCCAAAGTCACATCTAGGTGCCCTGTGGCTGCCGTGGGCTCGTTAACCTCCTAACCCAGAGCACCAGCATCGCTGCAAAGTGCCGCTTCTCATCCGACCTCTCTGACCCATCTCTCTCTCTCTCTCTTCCTCAGCCCGAGGGAAGAACAGGAGGCAGAGTATATTTTAAACTTGGATCTCGTGTTCCCCTTGTCACCATGGAGATTAAAGCACTGAGAAAGGAGACGGCAACACGCTCCCACCTGACCCACCGCAGAATTACTGACTCGAGCAGGACGATGCTGACGCACCCGTGGCCGCAGGCTCTCCCCGGCCCATCCCCACAACCACAGCCCCTAGCAGCTGCTCTTGATGGACCTGTGGCCTTTTTCCCCTCTTGTTTCCATGTTGCCCCCATCAGATGTGAGCTGCCACCCTCTGTGCAGGTGTGAGGGACTGCCCTGGGCATCGCCCGGAGTGCAGGATCATGAGCTGCCCCAGGGAACTGCCCTCGGTGGTGGGTGGGGAGCCGGGCACGGTGCGGGGTTTGTGAGCAGAGAGTGGTATCTCCAAAGCTGGGCTGTGGATTGTAGCGTTTGGCCCAGGTGGGTATGTCTGAAAAACGTTCCTTTGCTCAGACAACCTGCTCTGCACCCCCTATTTCTTGGGGAGACACTGCAGCCGCGTTACGAGTCGGGGGCATGACCCAGCCTGGCACCTGAAGCATGAAAACCAGGGCAGCCCTCCCTTATTTGCCTGAATAACCCGTTTTTCTCTCCCCTTCTTTGGTACCTGAATCCTGACAAGGATGGAGCAGCTGGGAGAAGGGGGCTTCCCATTGCTTCCCCCAGCACCTCCCCTCCTTGCCACCACTGTGTTTCCAAGTTGGCTCAGCTGGCTGCTCCCCAGGAGCTGAGAGCAAGGGCCGGTGTACCCCCCCTCGGGTTTCAGGTACCTGCGGGGAGGCAGGAGTGGAGGCAGAGGAGCATCAGCTCCCATTGCTGCTCCGAGCCCTTCGGCCAGCCTTTCCCAGGCACCGATGGAGCAGCCCCTTTGTCATCGCCGAGCCTGTCACCCCCCCAGCCCGCCGCCCTCTCTGCCATCATCACAAGGGGCAGGACACGGTTCCCAGCCGCTGTCTTGGGAGTTCATCTCCCCCCCCCC